GAACTACTTAATCATTTATCCAATCACAGTCCACGGTCCGAACAATTGTTGCCGTGGAAGCGAAAGATCCCAGTGGCGTCCCCATTCAATTAAAGTAGTTTCTGCTGATGCTGCGACTTCCCCCAACGCCTTAATGCAATTGAGCCACGTCAGAGCTGAATCCGTATATTTTTACACAGAAGAAAATAAGGGTTAAGTTTGTTCATTTATTGGATTATAATTTATTAAATTTTGTAGTTCTTAAAATTGTATTATTCTTTAAAAGATATTAATTACTAGTCATTGTAAACTACAAAATTGTTTACATAGTATTTAAAGATGCCAGGATCGCCTAAAAAGTTAAAGATATTTATGATAATTATTTTTAAACGTATTCATTTAGAGTGGAAAAGAGAATAACAAAACTGCTCGTAGTGGCAGATTCTTTTTATTTATCGGCTATCGGTTATCGGAAAGCATGCCCAGGCCGAACTTCAACGTTAGGTAGTGAGAGAGACAGTCGTCATATTGAGGGAGTTGTGAACGGTCGTTGGCTGAAAATACCTACATTAATAATACAAAAGAGCCAATAATGTGCCTTCAATATTAATAATTTAACACTTCAAATCGAACTTTATCTTTTTAACTATTATTTGATATTCTAAAAAAAACCAGTATAATTCGCATATATTTTTTTACAGTGCACCCGTATCTCTGGCCATGTCCATCGACCTCGGCAGGGGAGCATTTGACAAGCGTGTCGTGTTACCAGCGCCTTATGCCAGTCTCTGTGTGCTGCATTAGCCAGGCTTTATCCGAGCCACTCACACTGAGGCACATATGCTGATGGGAAGTGGGTGGGTGTATCTGGAGGGGTTGGATGTCGGGGGCCTCTGCCAGCCTTGTCACTTATGCAAAATCCCCTAATGGAGGCATGCCGAGGTGTAAGAAAAACAACAAAAAAGCGGAAAACTCGAGCATGGCAATGCAGCCTGGACTGGATGCTGTTGCTTCTCCCGCCCTCATCTTTTCTTTATTTTTTTTTTTTGCTCCTTTTCTTGCCATTACATACAAATGCTCTTTAAGCGGATTTCGTAGCGTTTTACTTGTTTGCCATTGTTAAACTGAGTGCTCAGCATAAGGCTGCGACTCCCAGACGACCGCTGGACCAGCAGGATACTCGTTAAAGCTGAGCAGGTCCGTGCTGGTTTTCCGATGGTTTCGGATCCTTGGGGATGTGTGGCCGAAGGTAAGAAACGGAAATATGTATGTTTGTGGCTTATAGGGAAAATTTAAGATTTGAACTTATTTTTCACCTGAAGAATTTTAAAATAATTTAATAAATTAAAAAATAAATAAATCTGTAAATTATTTATATAAATGTAAGAATATTAATAAAGTAAAATGAATCAATGAAGTTTTGTAAAAATTGGTATGCTTCAGCAATGGAACATGCAGGTAATTTTCAACGTCGATCATCACAAAAAATCGTTCCGCTTATTTGATACAAAAAATCAAAATCCGACCGAAAGTGCTTAGGCATATTTTTCTTAACTTTTTCTTTGGGGTTTGTTGACCAAAAAAAAACGCAGCGGGAACAGTTGGCAAACCCTTTTAATTATGCCAGAACATGCGCAAATATTTTCCTTATGGCCGCTTCACTCTTCGCTGCTAAACATTAATTAATTCTCGGCTTACGGAAAGCTCAAGTGTGTGGATGTTTGGCCTGCTGACTTGGGACCGAAAAGTCAACGTTAGCTGGCCAATTTTTAATTAAATTATACAAAGTATATTTGTCTAATCTATAAGAAGTCAACTGTTACAAAAGTTTATAGGATTACGAATTTTATATAAAATTAGAAACTGTATCAAAGGAACGCTGATGGTTATGGGAGATAACTTTAAGATACTTGAAAGATTAATATTAATGTAAGATTGACTTCAAAAATAAATACCTTTCTTTTCGCCTGCTTAAAGATGGGGATGTATTATTATTCCTATTTATATTCCACATCGAACTCTTACGTTATCACATATGCTAGGATCTGAGGATTTACGCCAACCAGCCTATGAATTATTCTCCTTATTGATCCCTGTGCTCGTCCATCAGTAAGTGGAGCAAATCAGGCGTCAACTTCCACCCATTGAAATCAATCAAGTATAAGGCGCAGACGTTTGCCATTTTACGAGGCGAACGACATCGGAAACGAGGACAAAAAGCAAGAAGAGAAATGTCATAAAACTTATTTACTTAGCACCAGCAAAATGGTCCACGCAGAAGTCAGGTTCTCCTTAAACAAAAGCCAAAAAGAAAGCTGCATGAAACGAGGTTTGTATGTAAGAGCCCAGAAACAAGCGGAAAGCAAAGTCAAGTCAACGAAACGGGGCTGTCAATAATCATAAAATTCCTTGGGAGGAAAAGTGGGTGAAAATTCCCAAACACGGTGGGGAAAAAGGAAGCGAATGAGAAATGAGATCCCAGGCGATGAGCTGCTACTTGAATTTGTTAAATTGCCTGTGAATGACAAATATTGTGTTATAATTTCTATTAACAAAATTAAGCAGCGGCACCACATTGCGTATGCGCATTATTTAATTTGTCTAAGTGTTGTCGCAATAAAGTAGTCGTGAAATACAGTCCATTTTGGGATTTAAAAAGATTCCATAAAAGTAGGGAGATCTTAAAGGCCTCGACTGGCGCTTAATGGACAGTGACATAAGACAGTAAGGATGACAGCGAGGACCAGACAGCTTTCAGCCCAATCCCTCTTACCGTCCAACACAGAGGCCCTAACGTGTTTGGACATGACCAAGAAGCGTAGACAATGGCAGACACAAAGCGACTTCAAGTGGGTGGCAGACACAAAGATATTTTCTTTAAATGTGTAGCATCAACAACTTTCCCCTCCGCAAAAGCTTTATGAATTTTATATGCATCCGAGAAGTGTGCTACATAAAAGTCAAGTTGTTTCGGGCCAAATCAAAATGGCAAAGTTCGAACTCGACGTAATACTGTTGCCTATCCACAGGCTGAAGCTCTGAAAGAAATCGATTAGCCAGCAAATGAAAGTGAAAAGTGATACTAATATTTCATGTAACAAATCTCGTAATATGAAAGCTAAGTTGGCTTGGTGATAAATCTGATAAGGCGGAGTACATTATTCTTTAATTGTTATGTCCTTTTCAAACTACAAAAAGAGATTTTCACATCATCTTATATCAATGCTTTCAGTTTTTTTTCCACCTTAAAGACTTAAGTTTCTTTTTTAAGATATTGGCCCGTTTCTTTGCAGGAGATTTTATTCTTTTAAACTCGAAACAAATTGTTAATCTTTAAGAGCACTTTATGTTTTTATGTTTTTACTCTTGACTTTAAATTGTAATTGCAAGTTTCCACTTCTCACATGCGGCAAAGGGAAATTGTATGAAATCAAGAGTTCGCAATGAATGGCGCTAAGGTCTGTTGGCTGGTCGTCTCCACAACTCATCAAAATGAGCAGCGGATACTTAATCTGATTTACTTGCCTCAGTCAAGTCAGAGCCAACAGGATAGCAGCTGAAGCTCTGGCAAACCGAGCAAACAAGCGTCTTCATAAAAAGCGACATCTCGACCAGGATTTCTGTGGTGATGTTTGGGCGAAGGCAAAGGAGTGGTGAGTCAGGAGTGGTGGCACTGGCAGCCCAGGACTTTGGCTGCCATGGGCTGCTCATGGCTCGCGTTCTGCGGCGTTGTGTACATCATAAAAGAGCGATAAGATAACCATGCCCAGCGACGACCGACCGTGGCACTTGACTGCTTCAAGTCCTGGATGCCCGACGTCCTCCCGCCATACTAAACGTCCTTTGATACCCTCTATTAAGTGTTTCAGGCTTATAGAATTCAAGTTAAGAATGGTTTTAACTGAAATTGAAAATCAAATAAAGGAGTTGCTTTTTGATTTCTGTATATATAAATAATAGTTATAAACTCAAAAAGTACATTACAAAAAAAAAAAATACTTTTATAAGAGAGCGATATTAAAAAAAGCTGGTAGTAATGTATACAAGATATTTTTAAAAATGATGAAATAATAAAAACCATTATCAACTTTTTATAAGAAATCAAAACGCAATAAATTAACATTTTCGATTTGGACTTGGACAAATTTAATATATTTTTTATCACTTCAGCTTGCTTAAACTTCCCTGGCTTTTAAAGGATATCCCCTGCTTAGTGTGCATTTCTCTTTTAGCGCAATATTTGATTTTCATTGCCCGTCGGCCTTGGTCCCTGTCCCCCACCGAACAGCAACCTCCTGCCACTTTTCCTCACCCTGCCCCGTTTGGTTTCTGAGCTGGCAGCATCTTTAGTGTGATTTATTTGGGCGAAGCACAATGTACTTTCTTTTCAAATAAATCATAAATTTCAACGCACCGCCCTGCAGTGCACAATTGTTGTTGATGTTGCCGAAGCTCCAGATCTTGCCACTCCCACCAATTTTGTTTGCCCATCTCCTGGATTTTCCTTGGGCTTTCCACAAAGCATTTTCAAGCCTGAGTTGCGACGTTTTCTGGCCTATGGTCGCGCTACGACAGCAATTGAGTTATCCAAAAAGGCTATCTAAACAGAAAGGAAGATGTATATGCGCTTAGATATTTCATATTATATTTATTGTATTTTTATGGCACTTGGGCATTTTGGCCTTAGACGTCCAGGGTTTTGTTTGTCCTGTTGAAAAATGTAAAACGGATCTCGGATCCCTCTGCAAGGCCGCAGGGAGAATTATGAGCTAAACGCGACACGCATTGCTAGAGTGGGTGGCTTGGAAGGTTTTCCCACTCCATCAACTGACCAAGTCGTGCTGGAAACCCATGATTTGTGGCAGTTTTTTGTTAAGCCAGCAAGTCAAGTGAGATTTAGTTTGTAATTCTTTGCCCTTTAAGTTTGATTTAGGGGCAACACTTCATTTGGTTTTCTGCATTTGAGCACTTGCAGTTGCTGGAAAAAAGCGTACCTTTCATCAGGATCTTTAAATTATAAATTTAACTACAATTTCTTTATTAAATTTATCACAACATTTTTCTACTGTCTACTAAAGCTCCAGGATCCGCAAATTTCCTCAAATGCGAGTCACTTCCTTTTCCTTATTGACCTCGTCGATTTGAACTTGAATGGGCGTACGATATGCACTCTGGACCATCATGGACACCAGAACCATTTCCACCAGGATCAGGATGTTGATGATGGCTGCAATAAAATACATAAAACGAATTTAGTATTTTTAATATGTTACAGGAACATTCGCAGCTGAGATAATGCAACTATCTATTTACTTAAGAAGTTTTCTAGATTACAAATTTCTCACTTTGCTTGTAGATGGTATGATTGATGGGATACTCCCCGCCCATTTTGATGGCATCGAGTTGGTCGTAGAGAACAAGATACTGCAGCTTGCATAGCATAACCACCAATTGGAGGCAGAACATCTTTTTCCTGAGCTGATAGTCCCCACGAACCTTTGTGATCATCCGCACAGTGATTTGAAGGGACCAAGCACTGTTTTTGGAATACAATTTTAATTTTAATTTCTTTGATTAAAATACAATTGAATAGTTACCCCAACACAATAGAGCAGACGATGAAGGGTATAAAGAAGTACATGACCTGATGGTAAAGTTGAATGTCCCTGTAGTACAGGATGTTCATCACTAGCATGATAGATCCCTGCCAGAAGGGCATTTGCCAGACCTACAAAAACTTGTTATTTAACACAATATTTCCTTACGAATCCTACTTCTGAACATACCATATATCTGGAGATGCAGAGCTTCGCCTTAGTGGGAATCACCATTGGCAAGCAGAGGCAACAACAGCAACATGGAGGAGTATTAAGTTGCACGGCCTCCCCGCCCGTCTCCTTCACGAAATTCTGCTCCGAGTTTACGTAACGGAAGAGCAGAGTACGAAATACAGGTCCACCGACCATAAACATTACGTGCATCACCGTGTGGCAGATGAACCAGGAGTAGGGCACCAGAATGGTAACCAGGGCAGCCACCGAGATAATCGGATACAGACCGACCATTATAATCGAGGGCCTCAGAAGCGGCTTGTTCAGGTGACGACGCAGCCGTGAGACCGTCGTGGCGAAGATGCAGATGTTGAGGATGGTCAGCAGACTGGCAATGAAGATAGCCAGGCTGAGGAAGGCAGTCATGTCTGTAAGAGAGTTGGCCAAAATTCAATTAGTTGGGAGAAGAGGATTAGGTTTCAGAAAGGAACTCAAACTACTTGTGCTAAAGGTTATTCAATGATATATACGATATATTTTCAGGTGCTATTTAAATAAACACAGAATGTTTAGATTTAAATAATTTAAATACATTTAAATAAATCATAAAATGCTAAAGCTCATAAAATCATCATAATATCATATTGTTACATATTATATAAGACTAGGTTAATACAAGACAATATTATAGTAGTACTTCCCATAGTTATCGAATGGCCAGATAAACCTGACACAGTTGATAAAAGTGTTAATATTTTTAGATAGCAACTTCGTTGCCAAAATAGATGTGCAAATAGGTAAATGTTTAACTACTTAATTGGGCTTACAAACAACAAACTATATCAGTAAGCCAGGGGCAAGCTGAGCTATAACCAATTTTCGCTAAAAATATTTCAAATACAAAATACTTACAGCAAAAAATCAATACTCACTTTCATAATACTCCTCTACAGTGGGGTGTGTCCGAAGGCTATTTGTGTCATTTTGGTGTTGATCCAAGACCTGCGATATCTCCTCCGAAGGATCCATCGATATGTAGTCCTCGCTGGCATTCATTGTTTGGCTTTGATACTTTTATACTGAGGGTGATAAATTCAAACTGGGGCAAGTTGGTGCAATACTTCCTGGTTTTCCTTCGCTTAAGCTGCGACACTTCGCTTCACATCTTTATCATTGTTCACACTTTTCCAGTTAGCAGTCTTTACACGTTATTAGCACTCATAAATGTATCTGACAGTTTGCCTTTGGTGTTATGTCTTAGCAATGTTGGTGCTGTTATGGGAAATAGGAAAACACAACGAGGGAGGGGTTAATAACCGATTGAGATGAAAGTGCGAGGAATGTTCATAATTTTTAAGTTAGCAACTAATTTTATATGAAATTACTAACCTAAATTCGACGCGGCTTGTTTGAAGTAATGTATATTATATTGTATTTAATTAAAGCTAATAAAAAGTCTAGACCAAGTGTTAATACCCTCAAGCACGATCCCACGCAGATGAGTCAAATATCTAATTAAAGGAGAAAGAAGAAAAACTTCTGTAATATTTCATTCCTTAAGGCTTACTTTCTTGTTATTCCTAGAATTCAAAATCAAGCAAGCCTTGGGAAGTTTAAAGCCAACTGAACGGAGTAACACATTTCATTTGATTTTTATATGGGTATCTAAGCACTCACGTTACAGCGAACCCAATCATACCAATACTAATGCATAGACATTTGCCTATAATTCGTAGTTTGTGGACAATATTTAAATGAAGACCTGCGAGATGCTGATACAGACAGTCACCAAATTTATTGGCATGAATAATTTAATAAAAAAAAAATAAAGCAAGAGATAGAAATGCTGCCTCTTAAGCCCAACGAATGCTCTATTACGATTTATATTTGTCTCGTATTATAATTATAGATTCAATTTGATTTTTAAAATACGATAAGTTCAGTTCCTTGAAGAGTAATCATTTCAATAATCCACTTTACCTCCACTATTTTTGCTAATACATGAAATTATAAATTCATTAAACACCTTTGCTTACTAAAATAACAATTTTAACCAACTTTCAAAATATTTTATATTTTTCACCTGTGTTTCTTAGCTTTAGAGAACTCATTATAAGGTTACGAAGCCATAACAAAACCAATTAAATATTTCAAAACAAAGAGTAACTCAGCTAACAGACTAAATTTGTATATGAAATAGCTTAAATAGTTAACAAACTAGCCCAGGTGTTTATAAAAAGCCAGAGGAGACGAGCATGTGACTCAAGCTGGAACTCACTGTGGAGAGCCCGTCCAATTTTTTTGGAACACAAAAGAGACCGAAGTGGGCTCCCAAATGAAAAACTGGTTTTCGAAAGCATAGGCAGGTTACAGGCCGGCCATACTAAAAAATATTTTACGGGTAGCTTGCCTCATTGCACTGGACGTTATGCAATCTCTTTGTTATTGTCCATTTCCAAACTGGTTTTATATTTTTGCACAGTAATAACGCATACAACAGCATGTCGAAAGTGCCTGTAAACGCACTATAAACATGATTCAACATCTCGCAGCACCAACAACGACCTTCAGATCTGCTCCGAAAACGTGTCAAAGTCCCCGCGATCTGACCTCAATTTAGCCCCAGACTTCAACGTTAATCCGGAGTGGTGGAAGTGAAGTAGAATCGTGTCTTATCACCGAAAAGCCGAAGCTCACAATTCTCCATCTTACGATCTCATTTCATCAGCTAACGAAAAGATGTGCTCTTTTTCCATAATTAATTTACCAACTCGCCATAAATCATTTTTTTCCAGCAATTAGCATGAAATTCGCAGATTCGTTTCTGTGTTTAGCACATTCTAAGGTGCGTAAAACAAACCTCGAAAATAAGCGTCATAAATATTGTATACAAGTAAGAGCATAAGGTATACATATTCTTTCGTTCGGTTTTTTAACATTTTGCAAATCGATTTGGCACGCTATAATCAGCAAATAAAAATATCCAAACGTTGAAAATGCTTTTAATATTTGTGTACCTACATAGGTGAAAACGTGCAAACCCCCTCTTAATAAATATATATATAAATATAAAAATTTATAGAAAATAAAATAAAATATTTTTGATATTTTCTTTGAAGTTGTTTCATGTAAAGGGAAGGAGACCTCTGCCTAAAACCCGTACCATTAAAGTAATAATAAAGTTGCTAAACTCTCTCAAAAAATTTGCACAGAGAACTGTCGAAATGAAACGTAAACATTGCCCAAAAACGACCCAAACGAAGTTTTGCATTTTGCTGTTGGCACATTTTTTGTGGCAACATTGTTAAATGAGGGATTTCTCTGTATTTTCTCATTCATATTTTTTTCTTCTCGTCGGCTGTCATCTTCTGGCCGGCCCTGACTCTTAGCCAATATATTTCCGAGCTTTTGCGACTGGCAAAATTCAAATTGCTTGGCTAGACAAAACGCTGCAAAATGAATGGCCAAATACACGACCTTACGCAATGCAAACAAATTGAGCAAAGCTGAAAATGCTCGAAGAACCAAAATAAAACAAGACCCAAAACCGAAAATCAAATGCAAATACAAGTGCATTGCCTGGGACAAAATCAAAATCAGAACTCAGACCGCAAAATGTAATTTGTTTTCTGGTCGACAAAGCAAATCATTTCCCTATAGAAAGCTCGCAAGAGGAATTTTCTTAAAGTGAGATGTTGGCTCAAAGAATTTTCCCATCTGCGCTAACTCAAGATAGCAATTCATTAGACATCGTGTCAAGAAAAGACGTTTGGGAATGCCAGCTATCTAGATAAAAGTTTAATTATTTGCTTCCCAGATAAGATGTTTCAGCTCCCAATTATCACATATTTTCAAGTTGGAATGTTTTAAACGAAAAACAATTTCGCAAATACGCAGAAACGATTGTTCAAAGTACAAAATTCCAGTTAAAAATTGATTTACGTTGAGTTAATATCTATGTGGCTTTTAATAGTCATGTCGAATGGCGGTTAGATAAGTTAAATATTTGTTATTAACTTTATTAACCGTCAACAAAATGGTGTGACAAAGCCATAACAACGCGGAAACCAACGAAATTGGTTTGTTAAGTAAAGGTTCTCTATAAGCATATGAGATTTTCCTTGGTTGTAACCTTGACCATCGCAGCACTTCACACACAGTGGCCTTGGCATTGCACTTCATTGAGCAGTTTGTAAGAGTTTCAATAAAAGTCATATGCAATTCAACTTGTCTTTAATTCATGTTGATTGCTTCGGCATCAATCAATGAATAGAATAATTATTTATGGGATGTTCACACGACAGTTGGTGTTGAATAATTTTAAGGGTCGATCACGAGTTAAACACACGGAATGGCAGAATCGATGAACGATTAAAAAACATTGCACTGCAGTTGCTTAATTTATTTTTGTTTAATTTTGCACTTTTTTTTTTTTTTGCTTACACTATTTCACTCTCTCTCTCTCTCTCTCTCTGTTTGATTTTTGTACTATTATTTGCACTTTTTAGCCGCGTGTGTCTTGCCCGCTCGCGCTCTGTTCAACAACTGAAAATGAAACTCAAAATATTGTAGTGCCCATGCCGATCACGAACGTGAATGCGCCCATCTCAGACCACGGGCTATAAGGCGTATATATATACATATAAGCAGGTGTATGTGTGTTGGCCAAAACAGAAAATAGCGGTAGCAATGGCACCAATACATGCATACCTGTTGACGCGATGTGCTAATCGTCATTTGTCGATTTCAAACGCTTTTGCTGCTGTTGGGAAAAGTTTTCTCAACACTTGCTCTTTGCGGAAGTAGCTTATTTGCCGATCAAAAAGCGTTTACTTTGGCCAGATAAAGTGGCTCGTAAAGAGGCTTGTCCTGCTAACACGTTGGCAAAAGAGTTGTGAAAAACAGCAAATAGGTCACTGAATGAAAGTGAAAATCCAGGCAAACAATTCGGCATTTTTAGAGATCTCACAAAAATGTGTTAGTGTGCTGCACCTCTTAGCATAACCATTAAAAGCTATTTATGATGGGTATAAAAATTATGAGTATTCAATTTAAATTTCAAATAAGACTTTTTACTGTTTTATATATCTTTGATTAATACTTAAGTTTCCTGTTTCTTTTTTAATTTCTTTTTATATTAATTGTGTTCTTTAAATATCTTTAAAAAGATTTGAATTTTTCATAATAAATCGATTTATGTTAGTACTAAAATTATTCTTAAAAATTAATTTATATAATATCTCTTTTTTTTACACAATATACAAATTAATTGAATTGGTTTTGAATGACTTTTCAAGCCACTGTGCAATTGAGAAAATTGCAATCCTGTCTTCCGGTCTGACCAACCCAATTTTCTTCGCCATCGCCAAGCACTTAAGCTAAAAGCTAATTTGTGTAGAAAATGCCATCAGCTTATTGGAACGTCCAGAACTTATGGACTTCTCCGCAAGAACAGAAACCAATTAACATGTCCAACCAGGGGATAATTAGTTTTTCCAGCGTTCGATATTGTTATCCCAAGGGACCATAAGTCACAGAATATCGCGATGAACAATGAAGTTTCCAATGGCGCATCAATCAAATTCTTAATTTGCACGCCCCCGAGTGAAAAATCGTAGGTGCGATTATATTAATCGATGCCAGCCGTCAAACACAAAAGTTCCCCATACAATTTGATATTCAAATTAAAGTCATTAGAAATGCCATTAAACCGACTGGACTTCGAGTCCAAAACACAGCCCGAAGCTTAGGGTATATCAAAAAACGTAAATCTAAGGCACATCCGCTTACTAATTTAATGAGCGGTCCAATGAACCTTTTTTGTGGTATCTCCCTTCTTTCGCACTTTTTGTAACCAATCTAAAATTAAATGCTAATTATTCAACCCAAAAATTATGCAATAAATTAAGCCTCGAAGGCGACCTGCCAAGTTGGTAAATTTTTATTGCAGAAGCTGTGGCGGCTGCTCGTAAAATAAAATTATGATGGCAAACCGCCATGCAACTCAACTTATAATTTGCAAATAAATCTAATTGTGTAAAGAGGGTCAGAAGTGATAAGGCCAATTAGATGAGGGAGACTTAAAGGGAAACGTGGAAAGCGGTCAAAACGAAAAAGAGCAACAAGAACAAAGGCAAACTTTAGCAAACTGTTTTAATGTAACAACTGGAAAGTTATGGCTCTAAACAAAGAAAAAAATGTTCATGGACACGAATGAATGAATGAATCTTCTTGGTGATAAAATGTGAGATGAATTAAATATATTACCCTCTAGGTTTAGGTAGTTGTTTAGAGATTTTTTTTTTCATAGATAGTAATGGAAAAGATTTGCTATTTTAGAGGTATCAAACTTCTGCAATTTTCTGCTGCACAACACAAAATATTTGAAGAATGAAAATTTACTTAGAAGAACAAATCAGTTGTACATTAAATTTTCCTTTCGTAGGAAAATACTTTCCCAGGAAGACCAACATAATTCATATTCTAATCAGGTCTAGCTGAAATTAATTTTCCAAGAAGAGCACAACTTCTTATTTCATTCTTTATTAGGGCTATTTTATGAAGAATCTTTATAAATAGCTTTAATAAAATATATATTTATTTGCGTGAAATTCAAATTTATAAACATAAATCTTTGCATTTTTATTGTCTACCTCTAGAGGAAAATATTGCATATGCAAAGCAAATCTTCTTAAGAAACCCGCCTTGAATTCCTTATTCGCTGTCAGTTGAGTTTGCTTGTCATCATTTTCCACCTGCACGATCCACTGCAACCAACAGCATCAGAGTACCTTTGAGTCCCAGCACCTTTTGAATACCAGCCTGCTTTTGAATGAGGGGGCCAGCGGCCATGAAAACTCTCCTCACTTCTTTAAAGAAAAGATAAAATTTTTGGACCCCAAGGCGACGCCTTTGAAGGCGACGTCGCGGATTCAGCGCCTCGCCAGCTTTTCCTTGTCGGTTTTCATTTTCTCGCCACTGTTTATTTGCCGCCTTTGGGTTTTTGATGTTTTCTTATTTTGCTCATTTTTTCACGCTCGCCTTTTTCGCAAATAAGCAACAATGCAGCCGCCATTTGAATAACACAAAAAAGGACGTCGACGTCGTCGGCGAGATGAGAAGCCTTGCCCAGGGCTGACTTAGCGTTCGTTTCTTGGGTCCTTGTGCCATCCTGATTCATTCAACTGTCGCCGTTGTTTCAATTTCAGTCCGCACTTTCATTCCTCCGCTTTTCGCCTGTGTTGTTTGCTGTTTAACGAAGCAAATCAACAAATTGTAATGATGCCAAAGTCCTTTTCTGCGTTGCTTGCACTTTTGCCGCCACCCCCCACAAATTTTGTTTTGTTTTTATTCCTCTTTTTTTGTTGTTCTCCCAAATGGCAGACCCGAAACCCATTCAGATCAAGAAATTACTTGAAAGCATTTTGAGTCGAATTAAGGATACCCAGTATTAACTTCAATACTAATAAGTTTACAAATTCTTAAAGGCCATTTAACTTAAACTTTGCCCTCATCTTTATCATTGGCCAAGTTTAGATAAAAAGAAAAAGACTTATTCTTCAATAAGAGAGGGTACATATAGCCGTACCAGTTGATAAATCCTTTATTGGATGTATTTTCTGCAAATTAAGTCATGTTTAAAAACAAAATAAATCTTCCCTCAAACTGCAAGATTAAAGGGTATTCAAACCCATGGCCCGAAACCCGCATTGGCAGCCCTTTTTTGCATGGTGCGCTCCACTTGAGGCGCAGTGTGGCGTAAAATGAATTGAGACATTCGGTGCTCGCATAGAAAAAGCCGGATTCTCGGCCCCAAAACCGCAGAGGTTGGTCCTTCAACAACAACTTCTGGGCTCTGCACCATACTGAATGCAAAAGTGGCAAAACTTTTGCACCACTCGGCCGATGAACCACTTTTGCCCCTCTTCGTTGGGCATTCAGGTGTGAAGTTTTTGGTCGGCGCACAAAAGTATGCTACAAATAATTAAATCATGCAAAGGCCATAGCTAAAGTATGTTTGTATTTGTGTGGGTTGTGGAGAGACAGAGAAGAATCGACCGGAAACAGTCGCCCTTTCTCCCTCTTGGCTAGACAAGTTCAATGTCGCCTTGAGGTCCTTGTCAGCCTGTCAGCTAGTTTGATATTAACTAATCGATATCTATATTCCCCGCCCTTCAGTGGCTGTTTCTCCTGGCCTTTCTTTTTTACTGGCTTACTTCTGGCTGCCATGAATTGGAATTTGCATATGACACGGGCAGTGGACACACACAAAAACAAGAAGAAAGTCAGTAAGAACATTGGACAATCGCCAAAGGCAAAACACGCAGGCCCTTCCATCAAGTTGGTTCACTTTTTACTGCGATGGTCTGCACTTCCGTTTCCGCTCAAAACGCACACTGGAACGTTCAATGGCAGAGCCAAGGGGAGATGTGTAACTTAAATAATTTGTTTTTATAAGTGAACTGAGCGTTTTCCGGTGTATTCGGATTATAAATCATATGGATTTTTTATTTCCAAGTTTTAAAGTTTTATCTAAAAAAAATAAAAATTAATTTTTTTCCTAATTTTAAGAAAAAATGTTTTTATTTAGTTTATAGTCTTAGTGTCATTACTGGTAAGACTTAAGACCTATGTCGCCTACAAGGAAACACCTTGCTTAGCCAGAAAACTCGTATCGCTTGCCAATCTTTGGACCACCGAAAGAACCGATCCAGAACAGCCAAAACCACAACTCACGTCGAGATAAATCGAAGTTTATTTGCTCGAGTGCTTGTGGCTACTGCACTTTTTCCAGCTTTTTCACCTCAGGTTTTTGGCAGACACTGTTTGCTCTTCGCACCTGCATAATTTATAAGCTAGAAATGATTTGCATGCAGTTTTTCCTGCACTTTGTTTGCCTCCGCTCGCTTTTTCTTTTTTTCTTCCAGGAAGCATGAAACACAAACTGCCAAGAATGTGAAATGTTTGTGTTTGACTTTGGCTTCGATATGTTGCACTTAAAACAATTGACGGCAAACAGAGGGCAAGAAATCCTGAGATTTGGTCAAAACCTCACAAACTGGTCTAAAATGTTCTCTTACGTTCGTAAATTGGTTCTCTCGCAAAAAGGAAAAGCTCTTCGGGAAAAGCTCATCGCGGATTTCCCTTATAAACGTAGCTCACTGATAAAAACTCGAACAGTTACCGTTTCGGACGCGTAACGATAGCACCAACATCCGAGTGCTGCCATCGTATCTGAAACCCAACCAAAAACAACAAAACCGAACTCCAGAAAATAAGTTCCCAGAGAAGAGACGAAATTCTCACCACAAATTGCCGGTAAAGAGTGCGAATAAACAAATTGGATATAAAATTATAATTTGAGAGCTGGAAAAACTGAAAAAACTGCAAACAAACTGAAAGTGTTTTCTTAGTGAAAAGTGTGAAACTCTAACAAACTGCATAATTAATGAATTATTACTTTGAAGCTGCACAAATGAGGTAAGTCTGAAAAGGAGTTGAAAGCTGTAATTAATACAGAAGGTTTAAGAATAAAGGAATGTCCTTAGATAATAAAAAAAGAAAGGGACTAATTTCAAAAGGTTTTTGTAATGAAGGCAGAAAAAGTTTTAATGCGCAATAAGATAAAATTTAACAGATGACAAGGTAAAATAATATATTATAATAAGCTTAAGCCATTTATTAGGATTAGCTTATCACCGAAAATGAGGCATTATTAGTCAACGAAACAAAGGTCTTTTTATCTGTTGTAATTAGGAGTAACTTCCACTACCACAACAGAGTCCACAAAATAATACTATCAGAAATATCAATATTAATGAGTCTTTTACTTTAACAACATCATGAACTGTTACTAACTAATTTATCGTCTATATATATTCTGTTTCATATCAAAAACATTTCATTTTAAAGCTGATATCATTGCATTGATGGAATCCAACCCTTAATACACGTTCAAAGCCATGCCGAGCACACCCGAATCACACATACAGAAATCACTCACAAAATGTTTTATTTCGTCTGCCTCCGCTTCGCAAAAAAATCAACAAAAAACATGATATTCCCAGGGGAAGTGGCAATTTAGCGGCAGTTTGTACTCAGACAACCTTTAAAGCCCTGTTCAGACTGCCTTTTACCTCCACTCCGAAATTAGTCTTTCGAATTTTGTTGGCTTGGTGGAACGTCTGGGCTTAAGTTAAGCACACAGGAGCAACCTCGGGTTAAAAAATAATTTCGGAGGAAGAAAAATAAAAGCGATGCTCAAGTGGCACAGCGCTTAACACAAATTAGACGCACTTAATTACAGAGCAAACAGTCACAAGGAGCGGTCGTAAAATATGCACAAAAAACATAATAAGAACCACAACCGAGCCAGCCTCGGGCAAAAAATATATTTAAGCAGTTTGCCACAGAGAGAGAAAGTGGTTAATAAAGTGGCCGGGGCTGGGAGGGACTTTCAATTTCGGGCATTCAGAAGTTGCGGCTTAAAACCCAATTAAACGAATTGGCAAAAATTTAATTACAATTTCAGTTTCATTTTCGTTTTAAAGGAGATCACCAAGGACTCTCAAGACAAACGGGAAGTGAGGGATGAGCAAGACGGAGGGGGGGATGATGAGGAGTAGATGGACATGGGCGCGGACGAATTGTTTTGCCAGATGTTGGCAAAGTTCATAAAAAACTAATAGTAACTAAAACAATTAACTGCATTTACGAGGGGCAATAAAATGCAAAAGTAGACCTCAACTTAAAAATGCATGAGCTAGGGAACTATTTAAAATTTATTGGCAAGAGAGTTCTTATAATGAGATGAGTTTTGCAATAATTTGCAGAAATATATAAAATATATTACAATATATTTTGTAAATTTGATAGTATTTAAGTTCCATTTATTAAAACTTCCTTTAAAATATACTACGAATCATATGCAGTTCTTTATATTTTTATAAAAACCCCAAAGGAAAGCCCAAAAAATGTCAAACTTTTTCGCACATTCTGCATATGAATGTGCAAGTTTTTATGACAATGCCAGATGCAAAATTGAAAATGTAATTTGCAGCTTTGTAAAATGGCAAAATATTAATTTATATTCAATTAAAAAAAAGAATGAAAAGACATTCTGTAAATTTAAAAACACACTTCGGTTAAGACTGTGAAATATTCTTTTGATATTGATTTTAATTTGTTTATATTAAAAAATGTTATTTAAAACTTGAACAAATTAATATTATATACAATTATTGTATACTCCAAAACTTCTGAATCTGCCCCGCTTATTGGCCACCCAAAGTTTTTCAGCCCCCAGGCTCAACCCTTCTGCTAATGCCAACAACTTTGGCTACAACAACAGCCATTTCCTGTTCCTCTGGGCCCCAAGCTAGCCACGTTTTATCTGCCAAACAATAGGCTCATTAGTGGGACAGCCCACGCCAACTTTCAACGCTATAACCATAGGCTATAGAACGCCACGCCTCTTGGGCAAACTTTTCTTAATATCAACGCAGGCAACCGAACCAAAAAAATTACAAAAAATAATATTTTCGTAGCCGGCAAGTTTTAGCGGCAATTAATTCGGGTTGGGGAAACTTTAATGACCGGGAAAATCCCCAGAAAAGCTACGCCGTTCGCCATAATTGGAAATGAAAATATTTATTGAATTATTCAGGGGCGAAAATGTAATGCTCAAGATATTACAAGTCCCGCAATGAACTCTTATTAAGGGAGAATTAATTGAAAGCAAGTCTAAAGCGGGCAAACTATAACTAAAGAGGGTCACGATGGGGTTCTTGGACCGAAAAGTTTTCCATCAACTCAAGAGTTGGCCCGTCAATCGCAATTTTCAAGTGGCGACAAAGTAGCGCAGAATGAATATGCAAAATGCTGTTCTGGAATAGACTCGACTGTCAGCTTTGGAGGTCCTTGCCTGCCCCTTTCAGCTGCTCCTGGAACAAGTAATTCCACTTTATTTAAGTTTTTTTACTTTAGCAATAAACCGCTTTCGACCAGAAACGGATGCCAATGCGTTTAAGTTTAGTTCAGTTCGGTTGGGTTCAACAAAAAAAATCAAAAAATGTGCGGGCAGAACTGTACAAAAATGGAAATCAAGAAAAATGCTCTGCGCACTTTCAACTTCAACTTTCTCTCTTTGGGGCACTAATAAAAATAGCGTGCAAAAGTTTCGTCTTCTGCACTTCTTTGCACTGAAGTGCAAATCTTTTTCGGAGGACTTGCAGAGTCCTTAAACAATGAAAGGGGTTCAAAATGTCCTTGGCAGGAAATCGGAAATGAGTCAGGGAGCTCGGAAAATAAATGCATTTTGCATTCAATTTAACAGATTTTAATGGTAAGGGTAAAGGATAAAGAATCTCTTAAACAATAAAGTATTTTTCTTAAAAATATTCTTTTTAACACTTAAGGATAAAGTACATATTAAATGTTAATAAAATGTTAAGTTTATAAAGAGTTTTGGCCTTCAAAATGCCGAAATACTCATAGCATCCCCGAACTTAAAAAACTATAAAGAACACAGCAAGCATATAACGAGCGAAAGTGTCGGGATCTTAACTTTTGACAGCATTTTGAACACTTAACTTGGCAAAACTCACGCAGTGGTGAGAACGTTGCGCATACGCCGCGTATGACCAGCTTGAAAGGAACTTCGCCTGGCACAAAGAGCCATAAACATAAAAGCCCTGGCGATGAAATGCAAAACAATAAATAATGAAATAAAATGCTAGCCAACAAGGCAAAGGAGAGCAGTCTGAACCCACCGCCAACCCCTCGAAATAGAGTCCTCGAAAATTAAGGAAATTAAATATTTACGTATGAAAGCAAGTCGAGGAAATTACGCATAGTAAATTATAAAGAGAAAAAACTGAAATGCTGGCCAAAGGGGGAGTGGGTCGAGGGTCCTGCCTTATTACAACACCCCCTAAGGCGAGGCAGTGCTTTGTCCTTGCTTTCCACAAACACAAACACACACACACATACACAAACTCACAATCACACACACGCCACGGCCATTAATTTATTTTTATGCCAGGCATAATCTTTCCTGCTTGCGGTATTTTGTTTGTATTCATTTGCATCTTCTACCAGGCTCCACCTCCCGAAAAATTGCGTATCATACACCACCCCATCGATAGTGTGCCAAATTTCTTGCGTGGCGACAAACCAGAGAAACAAAGGCCAAATGAAAAGAAAAGGCCAACGGATACACTTCTAGAAAATTTTTCAAAAGCACTTTCTGGAGTTTATATTTCAAATTAGCTTTTCATAATTTACAATTAGTCTTCAGAGAGCAAGCTAGAGAAGTAGATTATTAAAAACTGTCACACAAATGTTAATCTCTTTTTCGTGTTTGTAGAATTTTGTTATGGTTTTTCGATTTATTATATCTCAACGCATCTCGAATTTGAGTACCAATTTCATAATGTTGTGTCATTCAGAATATGAACTGCCTTATCAAGAGCTTTGGAATTTTACTGATATTTTGGATATATTAAAGAGTTTCTTATCAAAATGTTGTGGATTAATATGACATACGATAAGTTCAAATCAATTCAAAGATATTGACTAGCCAAAAAAACTGATAAAAAAGATAAAACAATAAACACACAAACAAGGAGGTAGTAAAGTATAAAAATAATTAGTTTTCTGAGATTTCTCCCAGTGCATTTAAGAATCCAAACCGAGATGAGCGGAGGAATCGGCGTCTTTAATGATTTGCCTTTGCCCACAAAGAAGCTGAAAGCGATGGCATGGGAATAAGGGAGTCCGGAGGTGCGGATCTGGAAAAAACCAAAAATCTCCCTCTTGGGCATGAAGCCCTACCGCTACACCCTCCAAACCCATGCCCATACCTACCTCCTCCCTCTACTCTCCTCCTCGACTTCCAATATCTCTGTGTACATTTCGGCTTGTGAGCCATTTGAATACGTATGCATACTTAATTTGCCACGGCTTTGCCTCTGGTCCGTGCTCAAAGGGCAAGGGCAAGGGAGGGGAAGGAAGAGAGCGGGGATAGCCGGATACGGCGAATGGCATACTACATTATTGATTGGATATTTGTGCGGGAATTTAATAAAATATGCAAATTCTCCTTTTTTTGGTACTCCGCACTCAATCGAAAGGCGAGACGAGGCTCTGTAAACGATTGAGTGGCTCCTCCACTGGACAGGATTTCGAAGGTCTCAAATCTGGAAGGATGTGACGGTTGAAGAGTTTTGGGATTAATTAAGAATCACTGCTCATCCAAAAAAAGCTTATGAACTTGTCCTCGCTATAGGCATTGAAAGAAAGTTGAAACTAAATCACATCAAATCCCAAATTTACTTTAAACTGGTTGAATAGTCTCTTAGACGACTTTCAAGTTTCCGAAAAAATATATAAACACACCCTTTAATCAGAAAGATATAACTAACCTTAAACCTAATCAATACGAATTACAAACCTGAGCTAACTCATATTCATCTCACTTC